TGATGCATTTAAAGGAGAACATGAAGACAGATCTGAGAAGGGGGCACAGGAGAGAGCCTTGAAACCCAAGAGGATGAGCAGGGAAAGGATTCTGAGGAGGAGCACACTACCCAGGAGCCAGTATTTCAAAATGAAGGGAGTTGTCAATTGTGTCGAATGTGCAGAGAAATAATGTAAATGGGAGCAAAGCAGACTACTGGTTCTGTCAACATGGATGTCATTGGTAACTTTGACAACAGGGTCTTGGGGGCGTGGAGGGGAAAGATGCTTGTTTGAAGCGGGAGGAGGAGTGAGGTTCAGGTGAGAAAGGAGAGGTTGTGATTATTTCAAGGAACATTTCCAGAGGGGAGCAGAGAGATGGCCAGGGTGCTAGAGCAGTGTTGTCCAACACCATAACCACTTGTCTAATTAAAAAATGTAAGTTTACGTTAATTAAAATGCAATAAAATAAAAAATTTAGTTCTTTGTCACACTAGCCAAATATCAAGTGCTTGAGGGCCACATGTGAGGAGTAGCTGCTCAACTGGGCAGAGCAGATAGAGCATAGTTTTATCATCGCTGAAATTTCTGATGGACAACTCTGCTGTAGAAGATGTAGGGTTAAGGAAGGTTTTAATTTTTTTTTTGTTGTTAATTTTTTAATTTGAGAGATACTAGACAGAACAGTGATCAAGTAGAAATTGGAGGTGCTGCTTTCTCATTGGACTTCTCTTTCTTTACCTCCCTTTAGATGTCAGTGGGCCCCAGAGATCCATCCATGAGCTCTGTTCTTCTTATTCTACCCATCCTCCCTGGACAGCCTTATCCATGCTCATGATCAACTGTCACCTACATTTAGTGGCTCTGTTATTGCCTCTCCCCCATGAACTGCAGAGCCACAGTCTACCTGCCAGGGGCCAAGTCAACTTAGAAGTCCCACAGCAACCTCAAACTCAGTATGCCCCAAACCGAACCTCCCTTCTTCCTGGTCCTACCCCTATAGCACCTTCGTGAATTCTGTCTACTTGTTCAGACCAGCAAAGTGGGCATCATTTTGAGCTCCTCTTTCTCCTTTAATCTTTATATCCAGTTAGTCACTAAGCTGCTGGTTGGCTTGTGGGCACATTTAGAATTGTACACCACCTCCATCTTCGCTGATTTATTTAAAGTCTCACTTGGACTGTTGGGAGCATTGTGGATTAGCTAGCAGAAGACTCACATCCACCCCCTTCTCCCAGGCTGGCCTCTATTAGAGGGGACAAGACAGGCTTTCTTACAGCTAGAGATGGCTTGTGATGTAATTCTGGTCAATGAGACAGAAAAGAAAGTCTGTTCAGAAGTTTCTGGGAGAGACTTTGCTTTCTTATTTAAAAAGACAGATACAGATGCTCCCAGTTTTTTCCCCTTCTTCATCCTTTGAATGCCAGATTTGTGACTGGAGCCACCATCTTGCAACTGCGGAAGGAAGGCAAAGAGAATTCCTGTGCCTTTGTCCTGAACAATGCCCATAGCCACCTACCCTCATATTTCTCACTATGGGAGAAAAAAGTAAACCCCCTTTTATTTAAGCCACAGGGGATTCTGTTACTTGCAGCCAAAAGCATCTTTGACTGATAAAGTCTTCTAGCTAGTTTCTTTGTTGTAGTATCATTGCGGTATGTTTCATTCTCCACAGCCTTGGCCAGAGCCTTTATAAAATGCAAATTTGACCTTGCTACTTCCCTGCTTTAAATTTTCCTTTGACTCTCCACTGCTCACAGGATAAAGATCAGACTGCTTTGCATGACACATAAGCCCTCCACAGTCTCCTGCTGCCTGCTCCTCTGGCCTCATCCCTGGGCACTGTGCATGATGGACAGTTCTCCAGATACACCACACTTCTTTGTGCTTTTTTGGCACGTGCTGTTTTCCTCTGTCTGGAACACCTTCTTCTTTCCAGGTCTTTCCCCTCCTCTCTTAGAGCTCTACCCTCTATGGTTCTATATCCTTATATCTTGAATATAATTATAGCTTATTGTCTCTTCCTCTTGCTAGACTATGAGCTCCTTCATTTTCTGATATGTCTTATTTATCTTTGTTTTCCTAATATTGGATAGAGGGTTTGAACTCAGGAAACTGAGAAATAATGAAAGAACAAATGAATAAGTGTGCTGAACCAGGGGCCTTGATTCTGTCTCTAGTTCTACTTCTTACAATGTCATGAGCTCTCTGAAACTCATGTTCCTCATAGTAAAACAGAGCAATTCTATCTTTGCTGTTTGAGGTGTCATTGAAATTATTTTTATATGGCAGCTTTGTAATAGCAAAACAGCACTGGCCTTGGTGAGAGGTCAACCCAAGTTCAAATCCATGACTCCAATAATTATTAACTTACGAACTTGGGCAAATTGAGTAAACTGTCTGAGCCTTAGTTCCCTAATTGACAGGAAGTTAGATAGAAATGTGCGGGGCTGTTATGAAGATTACTTGAGATACTGAATATGAGAATTATTGGTTCATAAGAGGGATTCAATAAATGTTTAATTGAAGTGGACATGCAAAGAGCTGGTCTTCAGTCTTGATAGGATCCCGCTTGGGATGCCCAGTTCCTGGACAAGAGCTGTGATTCCCATGCTGCTGGGCAGCCAAAGCCCAAACCTGTGCCTGCCTCCTTTCACTGTGCAGACAGTAGGCACCATGCCAGCAGCTCCATGCAGAGTTGCTCCAGGTCTCTGTCCCTAGGTTGGAGGAATAAGAAGAGTCACGACCATCTACACAGCACTGAAAAGATTCTCCAATGCGTCCATAAATATATATCTCATGTAATTCTCTTGAGCATTCAGCAAAGGCTTCTCAGAAAATCTGAAATTTAATCTGAGACTTAAAGGATGAGAAAGAACTAGCTATGTAAAGATGAGGAGAAGAGAACTCCAGGAGAAGGAACAGCCAAGATAGAGTCCCAGAGCTGGGACAAGCTTGATGCGTTTAATAGAGAACATGAAGACAGATCCTTCAGGAGCCCCTGCCTAAAGGATGGGGGCAGGAGAGTCCCTCAAAGAGGAGATGACAAACATTTCCCGAGATCCAAGCAACTGAACAGAGCCAGGAACTAATCCAAACGACGCCTTCGCAGAGTCCTGCCTACCCCCGAAAACAGAGTGTGGCAGGGTTGATGTGAGTTGGAGGAGGTGTTGATGTTGCAAGTCAACTTGTGCTGTAGCCTCAGTCCCACTTTCAGGCATGAAGTCCCAGGAGGTAGAGAGTGCTGTACTCTCAACATGTCCAAACACAGACCCATGCAGGGGACCCCCAGATCTGAGCCTCTCGCCTTGGTCTATGTCTCAGTGAGTGGTATTAGTATCCATCCAGTCGCTAAGGAATGAAACCAAAACATGACTCATGACCTCGCACTCTGCCTCACCCTCAGTAATATGTCCACCAAATCATGTCAGTGATGAACATCTTCAAACCTTTCTTTTCTTCTTTCTGCCACCACCACAGCTGCACAGTGCCCCACCGCCTCCCTCCCAGACTACAGTAGTAGCTTTCTAACTGTTCCCTTCACACCCATCCCAGCCTGTCTTGGTCCCCTCCCCACCCAGCCACCAGAACAATCTTTCCATCTGTAGACATGTACAGAGTTCGGTGCAGCAACTCTCTTCATGTAAGAGGAATTTTTTGAAAAGTCTCTGGGAGTTGATGCTCAGATCCTAAGAGCTCTCAAGTGTCAGGTGGAGGTGAGAAGGATTTGCTGGTTGTGCTACAATTTGGGAAAGAAAAAGAAAGGGTGGAAGGGGAGATGATGTGAGGCCATGTGGTTGTGATAGGCCCCTTGGCATCCCCCACACTGACCTTCAGTAAAAAACTCAGAAAACAACAAAATGCTTAACGTAACCTGATTTCCCATGGGAATCTGTGAAAGGCCTGGGCTTTGGGTCTAGACCAACAGTGAGCAGAGACAGAGAGTGTGGCGTGGGGAGGGCAGAGTGTGGATTGGGAAGGAGGCAGGTGTGGGGAGACTCCAAAGCAGCACACACAGATGCAGATAGGACAGAACTGTAGGAGGCTCTTAAAACTGGAGAAGGGCTTTGACTCTTTCAGTTCTGAGGAATCTAGGTGCAGGCTAAGATGAACCAGTCCTCATGCGGGTCCCAGTTGACATCTGAATTACACATCTACATGACAATAATATGAATAGACATCATTTATTCAGCAGTGTGCTGTGGTTTTGTTTATATGTAGTATCTCATTTGATTCTATTTTCATAACAACTGCAAGGGGTAAGTATTATTATTGCCTTACTTTACAGGGTTCCATCCTGTTATAATCTAAGTTCGTTTTTCCTCCATTTTTAAGATAAACAATAACTGTAGGGCAGTATAAAGTTCCCTGAACCACACAACAAAGAAAGGTAAAAGATGAAAAAGGTAATTGCTGAAAAGGAAACTGAAGTGCAGAGACCCCGGCAGTCTGGCTCCTGAGCCTATGCTCTTGGCCACTGTACATTCTCAATCTCTCTTCCCTCCCCTCCTCTTCCCTCCTTTTCTGTCTTCTTCCATCTATCCACTCATCCATCCATCCATTAAGCCTCCATCCATGTATCCATCCATATTTCTGACCATATATCTCTCTATATTTAGATAGTTGGAGATAGATATAGATATAGATATAGATAGATGTCTAAGTTGACATGCCAGGGGCCATGTCAACTTAGAAGTTCCACAGCAACCTCAAACTCAGTATGCCCCAAACTGAACCTCCCTTCTTTCTGGTCCTACATATATATATGTGTGTGTGTATATTTCTGATCATAAATATAAATAGACAGACAGATAGATAGATGATAGAGAGAAATATATGTATCTCCAACTATAGAGATAATTCCTCTTTAGGTGGGAGGTTGAATTACAGAACCTAAAAGTTTCCTTGAAGTTCTCAAGTTCTTTGAAGTTTAGTTTATTTTAGATTATATTTTGATTATTTTTGGCAGGTGTTGATCCTCCTAACTAACTTGTTTGGGTTTACCGAAACATACATTTCAGGGCTAGCATGGATATAGGAGAAAGACCAAGTCCCTCATGTTGAGAGTGAGATGAAGTGACCCACTAAAGCTCACCTGGTCCAGGCCCCTGCCTGTTTCACGTGATTTTGAACTCTGGATACGTGGCAAGTGGTGATAAGGACAACAATCCAACTAGGTAATGAGTAAGAGAGAATGACAGCCTGGAATTAGAGTGTAATCTGTTTTTACCACATGTGTATGCTAACAGTCAGTGATGATTATGACAGTGGTCATGATTCCAGCAATTCACAGGTCCCCATACCTAAAGAGATTTACAGACCTCATCCAATGCACTTCTTGCTTCCTGATAACTAATGCCTGATTCATTCCAGAGATGAACGAATTTAAAAGAATGTGCTATTTAAAAGAAAAAAAGGAATTTTAAAATCTTTTCTAGCTTTTATTTCTTTCTGAGGAGTTTCCTCCTGTTAAATGCTTATTTTTTTACCTTCATTTTAAAAATAAATAACTGTAGAACAGCATATAATTCTCTGAGCCACACAGCAAAAGAAAGTAAGAGGAAGCAAAAAGAAGTAAGCTCTATGGTCGTGGGCAGTAAGAGACTCATGATAAAGAAGTTGGGTTTGAGGATATGAAAGCTGGAAACAGTTGGTTCAGGCTGCACCAGAACACACACATTACATCCATGCCAATTGCTGTCTTTTCAAACTCCAGGAAGCCTGGCGTGGGTGAAGCTGAGTCACCTGGAGGCTGTGCCGAAGCCTGGTTGTGCTATAAGTTTTATGTGCAGCAGACTCTATCTTTCTCTCAGAAGTGGGTTGGGACAGCCCTTGGTATCCAACCCTCCCTACATTCACCTCCTTTGAGAAGAAAAAAATAAGACCCAGAAGGTAATATTATCATTTATTGAGTAGCTACACTGTGTCCAGAACTGAGCTTTACATGTTTTATATCACTTATTTATCTCAGCAATCTTGAAAGGATGGTATTGTTTTCCCCATCTTATAGGTGAAGACTGAAGTTCAGAAAGTTAAAGTGATATCGCCAGGGTTCCTGATTGGTAAGTGATGGAGGCTGAATTTGAGCCACATCTATATGCTCCATCATCACTCTCCTGGGGAAAATGGCCTAGATGTATTCTATCTGCATTCCTGCTTAGATTCTGCACGACTTCTCCTGTCCATTCCCTCGGCCCCCTCTCATCTAGTCCATGAGATTACAGTTTTGCACACTGACAAGAGGGTCCTTCTTAGCCTACACATACAACCAGGCATCAAAGGATGGAAGGGTTCATCTCACACACTCACAGACCATGTAGACTCTTCAATCTACACCTCCAGCTAGAACTCAGAACATTGATGGGGACCTGCTCTCCAACCTTTCACCTCCCCTTTCTCCATGAAATAAACGTCAACATTCACTCACCAGCCCACCCCCAGCCTACAAGGTGGCCCCTGCCAGATCACGCTTCCCACTGTGGAAGAAGGCACATATGAGTGAGTGGGCTCATCCTTTGACCTCTGTGTGAGATGGCCTATCCCACGGAGTCAGAGTGCAGAGTTCCCAGGGTAGCACAGGTGTGGTAATTCAGAAGAGCAGCTGTCAATGCATCTGAGGGCACAGACCCCCCTCCCATGCCAGGCTGGGAGAGGCCACTCCTGTATGTGGCAGGCGGCTTGTGCCCAGTGGCATCAAGGCTATGGCAGGGTATAGCAGAGATCTAAGGCCAAGTGGAAGTGGAGCTGTTGCTTTGGTTTTGAAAACCAAATGAATGGCTTTTACAAACCTCCACCCACAATTCTGTGAAAAGAGATAAGAATAACTCTGACCCTACTCTTACCTCCCTCTTCATCAATTCATACTGAATGAAGAGCAACCCTATGTGAATACAAGAGGATAGATACAATGACCTCAGCTGGGTCTAGCACCACTTTCAGGGAGGCGGATGTCCTCACTGGGCCCTCTTGCATCTCTTCAAAATGAGAATGACCAAGTTTGGATTTATCATTCTGTTCTTGAATCCCAAAGACTATCCTTAGAGCAAAATATACTCTTTGAAGGATGAGGATGTGGAGAAGCACGGTATCTTTAAATAACAAGGGAAGGGAAACTCAAATTAGGAAAACTAGAGAAATGCCCATGTTACTAGGATGAGGATGCCAAGTGGCAGGTACAGGTTGTCTGTGACTTTGTCATGTGTGGGAGAGAAATGACCTTTCTCAGGGTGTGGGAATATAATAGGTTGTACTCCTGATGACCTTGACCATCCTAATCACTCTTGTGTGATGCCAGGGCCCAGGTTCCACCCAAGTTTTACTTTATAGCTATTCCCGTTTCCCTATTAATCAAGGAAATTAATGAATACCGAATAAGGTGATCATTCTTCAGCTTTTGAGTTGAAATAGACACATAAATCAACTCAGCTGAATACAGTATGCGGAATCAGTCCTCCAGAAGGCAGCTTTCTCTCTTTCTGGGGGTGTATAATAGGACAGAACTTGACCAGTTGTGGGAGCCCCCATCAGCCATGACAGACTAAGTCCTCACCCATGGCCAGGAATGAGACACAGGCTTTTGGATGTGTGTGTATAAGAAAATGTACGTAGAAACCGCCACACCCACACCCCACATACCATGACAGGGTGGAGTATTTGTTGTCCTTACCTTGACCTTGTCACCATTTTCAGAAATTCTGGACTTTGATGGTGCTGTGTCCATCAGGACACAGCCTAGAAATTCTCAGAAGCCTTAAAAGGTGCCTTTCCAACAGCATTCCCTTTATCTACCCCTCACATCTGGGCATCCTGGACTCCACGCAGTTCACAGTCTATAAGTAAGATTTACTTCCTAAGGGGAAGCAGGAGTCATGTCTGGCCATGTCTCACCTCCAAGCTTGTATTTGCAAGCCCACACCGCCCACCCATAATACCCTCTTTCGGCATCTGCTCAAGCTGCACCACTTGGTCAGGGAATTTGAGGGGAGAGGTGTTCTGGTTAATGATGAGTTACCATATAGCTATCTTCCAAACATAAAATTAAAAGCCACAGCAATAACTATTAGTTTGAACAATATTTAATCTCTGATGCTTCAGAAGACACTTTGAGATCTTGACGGGCCTTAGGGTTGAGTCTTTGGTGGTGACTATGGGTCCTGAGGGTGCTGTGTGGATGTACAAGAGCACTGACTAAGGAGAGGTGGCAGAATGCAACGAGGGTAAGAACCTCAGCTCTTTCCCCAAATGGCAGGCTGACCCAGGGTGAGTCACTTCCCTTCCCCAGCAGCACTGGGTCAGAACTTCTCTGAGGCCCCTCTTACCTCTGATATTCTATTAAGACTAGCAGAGGTTGTATTGTGTGGGTTTTCTATCACTGGAACTGAGAAAAATTTAAAACTACCTGCATCAGCACAGAGGAGATCTGAAACGGTTCTTGGGTGTTTATAAAGTCCATGGGCTGGGCTCCCACCTTGATGTCAGCCCAGCCCTGGGGTCAGTGCAGACTGAGATAGGGAGCAGGAAAGCAGGAAGAACAGGAGTAGCAGAGTCAGGGACCACAGCACAGTTAGTGATTGAATTTATCAAGCCTGTGGAGAAGGACTCTCCCTGGTGGAGGTAGTGGCATAAATACGTGGTCACTTATCCTGCCTTCTCAGACCAAAACGAGCTGTTCTGCTATCAGTCAACCAAGAGGTTGGGTTACAGGGATGTAGCCTGTCTTTGAGACTGGTGATACTGAGAGGGCAGTGGGTGAAGAGATAACGAATCAGCTCTGCTTAGCCCAGGCCTTGTCCAGAACTGAGAGAGGGATCTGGCAAGGTATGAGCCAGTCTCCATCCACTGTAGGGATTCCAGGAGGCCCATATTTCACATGACCCTGCATTTGCTGGATGAAACTTTTTTCAAGTCATGGACATGTCCATTGTCTCATTTGACTTTTCTTCTCAGGCATGGCCAGCCCCTTCACTCAGCTCTGGCTAGGCTGGACTCTACCCAATGTAAGAAAACCTCTAACAAGAGCAAAATTCTGAACAGTGACTCATTGTGTTATATAAATAGTTTCAGTGATGTATCCAGCACCCCCCCTACACACCAAACACACATGCACACACCCCCTCTTGTGGAGATCACCTTCGAAATGATCCATGTGGGCACTCAACGGCACAACACTCTGAATATAAATGTATGCTTGGACTCAAATCTCTCCCTCCCGTTCACCTTGAGTCCTCAGTTGTGCAGTGGCAAAGGCTCCCAAGTGGAGCATGTGTCTCTTCTTGTTCAGCCAGGACAAAGTCCGCACTGGTGGCAGAGTCTACTCCTTCAACAGTCCCAGCTTCTTCAGGGCCTCCCTTCTGTGTTCATTGGGGACACCTTTTGGGGAGATCTTGACACTGACACACGGGGGCCGAGGAAGTTTGTCACGGCTCTGTCCTTGGTAGGACAGGCGCTTGGAGCTCTGCTCCTGCTCCAGGTCAGCCAGCTTGCCTACCTGGATACCTGCAAAGTCTTTCCCCGTGCCCAAGGAGGCCGGGCGGGGCCGAGAATTACGCAAGACGCTGGGTGAGATCTTGTCCAAGAAGGAGCCGTTTCCCAGAGAAGTGCTGGTTTTGGGGCTGTCGTCTTTCTCAGCTGAAAGGTAGTTGCTTAGTCCCACACCTGAGCGCTCCAGAGTGTTGGACTTGAAGTTCATCTGTCTCAGGCCAGGGGTGTTGCTCTCCTGGAGAGTCAGCCCTGAGTCTGACTTTGGTGGAGTCAGGGGACTGTTTGCCCTTGGGGCTTTAGGGATAGGAATTGGCATAGTTTTGGTAGCTGCGACATTGCCTGGAGCTGGAGACTTCATTGTCAAAGCTCCCTGAGCTTGACCTGGAGCTGGAGCCGGAGCTTGAGCCAGAGCCTTCCCAGCAGCAGGAATAGCTGCTGAGGCCTGGGCTGGAGCTGCAGGCTGAGCCAGATCTGGAGCTGGGGACGGACGCTGGGCACGTGTCTCCTTGGGTCTGATGGAGCTGGTGGGCTTACTGAAATGGAGTCCAGGCTCATCTTGATCCTGGGGTAGCCCCAGCTTCTCTAGAGCTTCTCTACGTGCTTTTCTCTGCTCCTGCAGTGAAGAGGAGACCAGGCCAGAATCTCCAGGGGCAGCCTCGGTGTGGCGGGACAGCCAGTGCTGGGGATCACTGTGGAAACTGCTTCGGCTGCTCTTCAGAACAATATTAGGTGGCAGCTTCCGGGGCTTAGGGGTTGTGAGAGGAGCTAGTCGGCTGTTTGGGTCCTCCCCTGATGGGAGGTGAACATCTTCAGCTCTTGCTTTCTGAGGCAACACTGCAGGAGGAGGCCGGGATTGTTGTGTGTACCCAGTTGAACCTGTTTCCTTGGCTTTTTGGGACATGGCCTCTGAAGCAGTCTGCTCTCTTTCGTGGGAGCTGGATGGTGTGTGGAGCTGGGGTGTGTGGCCCTGCTGTCCTGGCCCCTCGGGCAGGCTGGCTTCCCTACACTGCTCTGGCTGGGTGTCCCGAAAAGCTTCTGGTGGAGGGATGAGCACCACGTCCAAGTCAAGGGCAGCCTCCTGGGGGCTGGCAGGTGCCTGACTGGGTTGGTTGCTCTGGCTGACCTGTTCTTTCTCAGGCTCTGGCACAAGCCTACCTGCTTCTCCAGGGGTGTGACTGTTAGCCTGGCTGCTGCTTTTCCTGAAGTTCTGGCTTCTGGCAATGTGGATATTCCTGGGGAGGCTGTAGGAGCCAGACCTGAGGCCTAGACCCTGGGGCTCAGGAGGATGGGATGAGCTGGACTCAGTCACTGTCCGTGGCGCTTGTCCTTGCTGAGTGATGGTCTCCTCTGGACCTCCTGTGAGGGTCAGAAAGAACATAAAAGAGTGAACAGAGGTGAGGGCCCTGCTGCAGAGCTCTAGCTCCAGGGAGGGGCTAACTAATTGTTAATAAATATTTGCTAAATGAAACAACACAAAACTGCAGCCCCAATACTAGAGGGACTGTCCTCAGGAGTAAAATGCTCCTCACACCCTGGGACATGCGGCCCCACACTCATGGCCACACTTGTGTGTCGTTTTGTTTCCCTTCTGCTGAGCCTGAGCACCACTGGCTCTCCACACTCTCTAACGAGGGCCTCGAGGTGCTTCCCACTGCAGCTGGGGAGCCCTTCCCTCTCCTTATCTCTCTTACCCTTGTCCTCTGTGTCACCCAGATTAGCTCCCTAGACTGACTCAGTCTCTCCAGAGCCAACCACCCAGCCCTCCCTGACTCCCTCCTCTGCTGGAGTTCTACCCCAGAGGGTCTGCCTTACCCCGGGGAGTGGGCTGGGTTATGGGCAGTGCTCGGAAACCTCTGGGAGTTGTGGCTGGCTCAGACTCCTCAGTGGACAGTCCGCTGTCAGCCTCCGTGTCCAACGAGCCAATGGTCTCCTCCAGGAAGAGCAGACACTCCTTCTCTTCAGCGGACAGGAAGTCGTAGCTGCTATCACTCTGTTGGGGGCAGGGGGACGGGGAAGGGCGAGAACAGGAGACGGAGAGAGAGCTGTGAGAAAGTGCTCCCTCCGCAGAAACTGGCGGGGCCTGAGAACCACCCTGCGAAGGGGAAGGAATGTTGAAGAGCTGGAAACCTTTCCCTCCTGCTACTCTGCAAAGCTGCTGGAGTTGCCTCCTGAAACTGTAGGCACCAGGGAGCGCAGAGTGTGTCCGGAGGTTGGCCTGCTAGCACCCAGCTCTGGAGCTGGGCAGGCACATGGCAGGGGCCTTTCTTTTGCTTAGTCCTGGCTGGAATGCTTAGGGGCACAGATTAGAAGCAGTCCCAAGTTCCAATGTTTGACAGCCTTTGTCAAACATTTCACTTTGGGCACCTCTGATTTAGCTCCAAATAAGAAGGGCAACATAACCATTTGACCTGAAACTTCAGTGGTATTGCTTTTAACTTTTAAAAGTACTTCTGCATACTTGATCTGGTATGTCAAGGACAGTATGAGGAAAAGCAGGAAATGCAGCCAGCTATAAGCTGCCAGGCCAGTAGGAACTGTGGCATGACTGGCCACAGATAAATGTACTAAATGATTTGTAGTTGACTTTGAAATGCATTCCATACGGGACTTTTTCCCCTTGTACATTTACTTTCGTGATGGC